AAAAAAAAAAAAAAATCCTACGCTGCGCTTATCGGTATGTGGTCTCTATTGGAACCTTTCCACATGTAATGGCAAAAGCAGGAATAGGTAATTTCTAACAACAGGATACGTATGAAATACCAGAACCAATTTGGTTAGAAGAAGATACGTCATGTCAATGAAACTATGGCCCTCAAGTTTGGGTACATCAAAGCCACCTTAAAACTTTTAAACTGTACAAAGGTGAACTGAATAGTAAGAACACTTGGTTTCTCGAATGACAGGTTTTCCATCTGTCCATTATGTTTACCATAGTGAACATACATTATCGTGGCAAAACACCTGGGCACACCAGGTATCATATAGCACCTGATTTCTAAAAATGGACTTTAAAAACTGAATCTATTTAATTACTACTTACGTTTTTCATGCCGCAACATCACAACTGATCTCACATTCAAATATAATAAAAATAATACTTTGAAAATCATCTTTATTGATATATGACTCATAATTCAATTTCCAATAATGTCATTGTTCATTTTTCTTTCAAGAAGTAATGTAACTAGCATGGGTCATGTTGAGTTTCATAATTGGTTTCCATTTTATGGGCACCCGCTATGCCTGATGTGCGTATAATTGATTTTTGAAAATAATACTTATGTGTATCGACGTAGGTCATAACTTTCATCGTTCTAATTCAATAAATATTTTATTGCACTGTTTTAATTATATCTGAATTTGAAGTCTCTATTTCGTGAGTCTTCTTATTTAAATATTGAGTTTTTAGAGACTCTTATAAGGGACCCGGTAAAGTGAAAAGTTAAAAAGTCGAAGTTTAACTTCCACGATTTTATAGAAACAATAATCGGCAATAGATACCTACTGACATATTAAGACACATTTTCTTATTATAAGAACGACCATTAGGCAAGGATAAAAACGAAGAAATAAATTCACTTAACTTAAAACAAAATGTATCTTTATTTTGTCCGATTTCCTTCTTGACAAACATTCTTAGTGCATAACAATTTACTATTTTTTAAGCAAAAACATGAGTTGCAGCCGTTAGTCGTCGTGGTTCCTGGAGTGCATTTTGATCCGCTTGATAAAGACACCATCGATTTTCTTAAAGCCAGTTGAAAAACTTTATTCAATACTCTAGGAAGATTGATTCTCAGTGTATTGCCAACGTATTGATATTCACCTGATTGAACTCCTTTTGCTAAATTTCTTAATGCTTTTTCATCCATCGTCTGCGCAGGTCCAGGTCCTAGCGAAGGTCCTGGCGCTGGTGTACTCCTAGGTTTGAGATTAACCTCGTCTTCTGTGTCACTCGAGTCGTCTTCGTCATCCAAAATTTCTTCAATTTTACCGTTATTAATTTCATCCTCTTCTGGAGCAGGGTATTGCAATCTTAATTGTGTTTGTTTAGTTGTAAGTAGTGGGGGCAAGGTAGTAATCGTTTTTACTTTATTTTGTATGTACTGATGCATTGGAGCTGATGCTGGTTTTTCAGAAATTTGTTCGTCTGTGTCATAATAGTATTCATCACTACTGCTAAAGTTGTCTTCTTTACCTAAAGTTAGATACTGAGTTTTATTTTCTTTGCTTTCTCGGTTTGGTTCAAATTTTCCAATGTTCTGCTCGTTCTTTAGCTTCACAACACGTTTTAATTTTTGTTTCGCAGGTGCACTGGTATGTACTGTCCGTGCTTTATGTGAACGTGTACTGGTATTTGCTGTTTGACCATTTCTCAATGGGCTATGATTTTCAGGAACTAGTTCCATAACTTCTCTTACCAAGTCTTTACCACAAACTTTCAGATTATAAGTGCCTAGTTCTAACTTTTTGGTAAAGTAATTGCCTGTGTTGCATATGAGTTTATTTTCATTGATACAGTAACAAAATTGACAGGGAGCTAGCGAGTACCAGTTTTTGACTTCGCAGTTGCTGTAGACGTTATTAGATTTTGTAGAAGATCTTCGAAAGCTATCTTCCTCGCATGCGTTTCTTGTACAGCGATCATTAACAATTTGACCGTCGGGACCACATCTGCACACATTGCAGTCAATGCGGACGTATGAGTCGGGTACGCATTTATGTGTCTGAATTGTAGCCGGAGCCAGAACTTGGAAGGCATCGCTACAGCTTTTATGCGGCCATCTCCCATCTTTAGTACAGATGCAGGTCATAAGGTCTCGAACGTATAATTGGTTAGGATAGCAAAACTGTTTGATATCATCAATATCATTGTGAGCTGTAAAACAATAAATGAATATTTTAAGCACTTTTATAAGCTATGTATTTCCATTTGATTAGTAACGAAACGATACTCACTTGAATTCTTTTTACAGTCTAAAGCTTTACATTCGAATACTGTTTTAGAGGAGCATGTGCATCTATTGCATTCGTTTTCAACCACATCTCCTATGTGACAGGGCTTGATGGGGTGCTGCAGATTGTCTAAAATAATTGTATGATATTTAAATAGCAATAATTATTTTACTGTGCAGTTTTACGGCAATGAATTGGACAAAAATGAACTTTAGGCATTAAGTCCGCCATTGTATATCTACAAGAAGTGTAAATAAATAAAAAAAAAAATTTAAAGAGTAGTAATTAAAGATATTATTATACTTACCCACATTAGATGTAACTATATTAATAGAAATATATAATGTGAAAGAAGATAAGAGCCACATAGCGCGCGTGGATCTAGTGCGGAAAACATAAATAATGATTATCCAACGAACGGAAAGTAATTAGAGCAATTGATACGATTTTATTTGACTTTTTATTATGATTGTTGAATTATTACTCTAGTTAAAATCTGAATTAGGAAAACTAAACAATTTAGAGACAGAATCTCCCCTCAAAAGGCTTGCAACTCACTCTCCTAATTGTAGCTCTTTTTTTTATAAAATAAGCCGATAAACAAGCATACATATCACCTGATGGTAAGCAACCGGCGCCGATAGATACCCGAAACACCAGAGGTATTACAAGTAAGTTAGAAGCCTTTTAGGAATTTGGGGATTGTTATGGATTCGGGAATTGGGGAAGGGGTAATTGGGCCTCCGGTAATGCCTGGCCTCTGATGTTAGTGGTTCATGAGAGGCGCCGATTGCTTACCATCAGATGATTCATCAGGGCCTTAGTACGAGTTTGATTTACGTTTAAATTATTCGAAACGAGTACGCGTTCGGCACTTTGATTGATTGGTATATTGACGCCGGCCAATCAGAGCGCCGAACACGTACTCGTTACGAGTACTTTAAACGTAAAACAAACTCGTACTAAGGCCTCTGATAATGTAATATTGATATTAATAAAAAATATGTAAAACTTTTCACTCGGTACAGTATTAAAAGAAGATTGAGTACGATATACTTGCATTGTACCAATTTGTTTTATACGTTAAAACTACGGTAAAAGTGATTTTACTACGGTAGTGACTGAATGTTTACAACGACCAGGTTCCACAAGCACTCCATTGATGATGCAGTAGCGGGAAGTAAAAACATTTTTAAGAATAAATGGAGTTCGTGGTCGAACCTAGTGTTTAAGAAAAGGCGAGCTCTCTAAAAAATAATATCAACTAACATTCATTCAAAGGTATTTAAAGTACATTTCGAAACGCCTGGTCGACGCATCTCGTGACCAGAGGGCTGGTCTTTTTCTCGGTCAGAAGTCAAAATTGCCATACGACGTGGCAATGCTGCCAGCCTTCTGGGTACCTTCCCCACTGACGTCGATGCGGACGAATTTTTCGATGTTTTATGTAAATAGTTGTTTTTAGTTTTATTTTAATTAATTTCCATATTAAGTTGTATAGATATATTTAATTTAGTAATAGTTAGTATTAAATTTATTTAAGTTTTTATTGAAATAAATGATTATCCTTCAAAGGTGTAATAACAAGAAATTAATAAGATAGAACGTGTTGTACCTTTACCTACCGACAACTATACAGATAGAGAAGATTTCAAAAGTGACTGGTCCCTATGTAATCCACATGTCACATATAGTAATAAATACTTTGATTTAGACCCTCTAAGTTAAAGCTGATATAAGGAAACAAAATAACAGACAAGACGAAACTAAAGAGACAACATTTATTAAATAATTATTTTATTAACTACGTTTAATAAAATGACTTCACCCCCTATTTATTTCTCGATTAATTAATATACTAAAACCTTCTCCTAAGTGTAACAAACACTTTTCTGAAAATCGCATCAAAATCGGTTCAGCCAATCGTGAGATAACCGCAAACAAACACATATATACATACACTAGCTATTTCCGCGCGGTTTCACACGCTCTGCTTAGCTCCTATTGGTCTTAGCGTGATGTTTATAGCCTATAGCCATCCTCGATAAATGCGCTATCCAACACAAAAAGAATTATTCAAATCAGACTTGTAGTTACGGAGATTAGGACGTTCAAACAAACAGACAAAAAAACAAACTCTTACGCTTTATAATAATATAATAGTATAAAACTATAAGATTCAGGTCCAACTGAGAACCATCTTCTTTTCTTTTTGAAGTCGGTTAAATAAACAAATAATTGGACTACTTTTTAACCTTATTGTAGTTTTTAACATAAATAGGGTGTTCCCCAGCTTTAATGAAAGATGGAGTAGCATTAACACACGCTTCGTCTTCGCTCTTGTAGCAATGTTCTTCTACGAGGATTTTGTCAGTTTCACATTCACAAACATAACAATTGTCAGTTAGTTTGCCGGGTTCCTCACATCTGTGCATCGTGTGATTGTGAGGTATCGTCACTTGAATCGGATATTTGAGGGTTTCATTCCTCGTCGCATTAACTGTTATAAAAAATACAGGGCCATTATAATTATGTTTTTATAATTACTATCGTGAGACATACTAAATTAACTAAAACCGCGGGTTACTCACGTGAATATACTGAGAAAAGCTCAGTGAGCTGCGCGATGTCGAATAACCCCTCTGTGGTTCGAAACTAGTACAGCTTTTCTCAGTATATTCACGTGAGTAACCCGTGATTTTAGTTAATTTATTATAATTAGTTTAATCATCTACGTCTCTTAGACAATGCTATTGAATTTCATGTTCATTATTATATTTTCGACTGTCTCACGTTACGGTTTGAAGAGGTACTCGACTAGTTTCAAGCCATGCTAGGAGTTCATATTATCATTACAATATATTGTGGACACTGCTGAACATATGTTTCCCCAAAAGTTATGCATATATTTTAAGTTCATTTTTTCTATAGCTATTATAACTGATAGAATACCAGAGTGTAAAACGACCACGTAATGTTGCTTTATTGATTTGGTAAGCAAGCAGTTCGAGATGCAGATTGATCAACCCATTCTCAGGGATGCAGGTTTCCTCAAAAATGATGACATGATTAAACTAAGTATTTTCTATACGTATCTGGTCAGCAACGCTTTTAATTAGGATACCTCTAGTGTTGCACACGCGGATGGTCAACGGTCAAAAGTCCACTGCCACCGTAAGACTACTATCGGTTGCGCCGCAGCGTGCGTACGCGTGCGTGTGTTTATGCGTACGTACGCTTTTTTATGCACATTAATATGAACTGACTTACGCATTACCGTGTGAACATCACACACGGTGGCAGTGGACTTTTGACCTTTGACTGTACATATAGGTTACAGGAACTGAATACCTAGTACCTAATGGCTTGGTACCTAACGATAGTATTAGAAAAAAGAAAGAATGTATTACCATTTCCAATTCTCCTGCCCATGGGAACGTAATTGAAGTTTGGGAACGCCTGTTCACAATATTGATTCGGGGGCAGCGGTCGACAGAAGTAGTTGATGTTGCCCATGTAAGGACAGATGCAAACACGACACCTTTGGGATCAATCCAAATTATTAATAAATCGTCTCTTCATTTTCTTTTTGTTTATGTTTTTTTCTTTTTATTGGGTTGTTTGTCTTCAATTGTAACATATTATCCAATGCATTTTACTATAAATGATATATCATTTGCATGCTTAAATGGTAAAATATGGCTGAACATGTATTTTTATGTCACCTGTAATTGTTACTCATATTTGCAAAATAAAAGTATCTTTATCTTTCGGTAAACTTTGAGATAGACTAGCTACCGACGCAAAAGACATTATTACAATTTGGCCACGGGATCCGAGGGCAACCATAGCAATGGACAGCATGTTTAATTATAAAGTCAACGACATAAAAATTCCAATAATTTTTTTCTATGGGATAATCCGGTAAACGAGGCGACGGATTACCTAGTGGTAACCATTCGCGTCGCTCATGGACACCCGGAACACCAGAGGCATTACAAGTGCGTTACCGGCTTTTTGAGGATTAGGAATTTGAGGATCTTTGGGGATTCAGGGATTGGGGAGATTGGGGAAAAGGAGGGGGGGTGTAATTGGGCCTCCGGTAACCTCACTCACACGATGGAACACAACGCAAGCGTTGCCTTACGTCGATTTTCTATAAGGCTGTGGTAACACTCCGGTCCCATTCGTGCCGAATAATGGCTCTTACAGTTGGAGACTACTAAGACGGTTTCACACGATTTATCGTCGAAATGGGTCATAATTAAAATTAGTTGATAGTACATTTGTTATTTATTTCTTTCTGCCCCTTATCGCTTTATCTGGTTTCCCATGGTCAGGCGTAGAATGAATAAATTTCTCAGGGATACACATCTACTCCTTCTTACACTTTCACTCTCATTGTTATGATAGTGTGATGATGATTCAAAAATGTCATTTTCATTTTGACGTATATAGGAAATGTTATGAATCAGTTTTCAACTCTCGTTCCTCGATCTTAGAGTCATCAATTTGCTTTTGAAATGTGTTTCCTTTTATTCCCAAAGGGGTAGGCAAAGGCGCTTTTCGACACTTAATGTCATTGTACAATGTAACTCCCACTTTTCCAGACTCCCATGGTGGAAAAGTGGGAGTTACTACGATACTGAGATTTAAAAAAAATCCCAGTAATATTTTGCCCGACCCGGGAATTGAACCCAAGACCCGGCAGTCGCACTTATGACCACTCGACCAGAGTAGGTAGATTTTTTATATCTTTATTATTATTCCCTTTATTTATTTTCATACTTGATTTAAATATTTTTAAATATTTCATTATATGTAAAAAAAAAACATTTAAAAATATAAAAAGCAGTAGCCCACTGGTAACGGGAGAAATCCAAGCTACCGGTGGTCAGGGCTCCAGAGAAAGAAATTTCCGAACAATACGCGCCGTGTCCAGAAGTACTGCTTTCTGCATCAGGCCCTTGACCCAACCATCTAACGCTAGCCTACTCAGATGTTGGTCGAGGCTTTTAGCAATGAGGCCATTGGCAGATACGACTATCGGCACAATGACTGCTGAATCCACATCCCACATGTCGACAATCTCATGAGCTAAATCAAGATATTTACTTGCT